GTGAAGGTTTGGGGCAAATGGTTGAGTTTTGGGGCAGGAGCAGGGGAGGGTTTGGGGTCAGTGCTGACCATTGGGGCAAATGGGGACAAATGGTCAATGGCTGGGTCAATGGGTGAGGTTTGAGGGAATGGTTTGGGATTGGGGACAGGGGCCACACAGGGATGGGGACGAGGCCAAAAATATAGGTAGCAGGAAAAATATATAACCCAGCAGGACATTTGGCACAGAAATAGGATCCAGAATCCTCGTCCTTGAGGTTGTTCATGGGCAGCGTCACCGAGCTCTGGCCGTTGTCCCTGGAGATCGTGAACCGGCCCTTGACCGTATCCCCGTAGTCGGTGTCTCCATCAAAGTCAATCTGTGCAACCCATTCCAGCCCCTGCCCAGGCCTCTGGTGGATCCACATGAAACTGGTTTGTCCAAAATCGAACCCGGACACAGGGCAGAGGAGGCTCAGGGACCCCCCGGGGGGCTGGAGGTACCCCCTGCCCTCCAGCAGGGTCACGGCCGCCCGGAGCCCTGCGGGACAAAGGGGAGATTGGGACGAGGCCAAAGCTCAACCCTTGACCCAAATCCTGACTCGTGGCTCCAAATTGGGACCGTTGGAGTTCATCATCCTCCTCACAGGAGAGTCCTGATCCTTTTTCCATCAAGTCACACCTCCTTTGAGGCCCTGGACCAATCAGGTTTCCCATCCCCATCTCCCCTTTTTCCCGCAGGGCTCCGGGCGGCCGTGACCCTGCTGGAGTGCGGGGGGGCCCTCCAGCCCCCCGGGGGGTCCCTGGACCTCCTCTGATGAGGGTCCGGGTTCGATATTGGGAATTTTTGAATGGATTGGGTTCGCCAGAGATCCGGGCAGGGGCTGGAGTGGCTCGCAGGAATCCACAGCGATGGTTCCTACATCTACTACGTGGATTCAGTCAAGGGAGGAAGTGGGGGGAGGCTGCGGAGCCCCAAAATCGTGGCGTCTTCTCCTCCCTTGCTCCCTCCCTCCCTCGCTCCCACCTGGGGCTTCACTTCTCCCTCAGCGGCCGCGGTGTCTGGGGCTGCTCCTTGGAGCTGGGCTGGAATCCTCTCTGGGAGCTCTGGACATGGTGATGATGCTGGTGGTGGCACCAAACCCCCATCCCTGGTTCCCCAAATTTTCCATAATCCCCAAATCCTGCCCCAAATCCCAACCCTTTACCTCATTCTTGACCTTCTCCCACAGTGTCCACCATCATTGCCCCAACATTTGACTTTATCGCAATTTTTCCCATTTCACCCAAATCTCCGGCAGCTCCCTGGGCGCTGATTGGAGGAGGCCTGAACTGCAGGCCAGGGGTGAAGTTTTGGGGCCAATGGCTGAGTTTTGTGGCAGGAGCAGGGGAGGGTTTGGGGTCAGTGCTGACCATTGGGGCAAATGGGGGAGATTTGGGACAAAGGGTCAAGGTTGAGGTTTGGGGGTAGGGTCTGGGTTTGGGGACATGTGGGACTTGGCGATCGGCGCGGATCCATAACTGGTGTCTTCATCAGAAGCAGCAGCACACCAATAATAATCATAGCCACATTTGGCACAGAAATATACGGCAGAATTCTCGTCCTTTAGGTTGTTCATGGTCAGCGTCACCGAGCTCTGCCCGTTTTCCCTGGAGATTGTGAACCGGCCCTTGACCGATTGCACGTACGCGGTGTAGGAACCACTGCTCCAGATTCCTGCAACATATTCCAGCCCCTGCCCGGGTCTCTGGCGGATCCAGTACATGGTAAAACTGCCAAAACTGAACCCGGACCCTCGGCACAGGAGGCACAGAGACCCCCTGGGGGGCTGGAGTTCCCCCCCAAACTCCAGCAGGGTCACGGCCGCCCGGAGCTCTGCGGGACAAAGGGGAGATGGGGATGAGGCCAAAGCTCAACCATTGACCCAAATCCTGACTCTTGGCCACAAACTGGGACCCTTGGAGTTCATCATCCTCCTCCCAGGTGGGTCCTGCCTCTTTTTCTAGCTGGCCTTGCCCAGTTTGAGGCCCTCGGCCAATCAGGTTTCTCATCCCCATCTCCCCTTTGTCCCGCAGGGCTCCGGGCGGCCGTGACCCTGCTGGAGTGCGGGGGGGAACTCCAGCCCCCCGGGGGGTTCCTTTGCCTCCTCTGCCGAGGGTCCGGGTTCAGTTTTGGGAGCTAAGGAATGCTCTTGGTGTGCCAGAAACCCGGGCAGGCGCTGGAGTGGGTTGCGAGCATCAGCTACAATCGTGGTTGGACCGGGTACGCGCCATCGGTCAAGGGCCGGTTCAGGATCTCCAGGGACAACGGGCAGAGCTCGGTGACGCTGACCATGAACAACCTCAAGGATGAGGATTCCGGATCCTATTTCTGTGCCAAACATGCTTACAGCGGTTATACTTATGGTGCTGCTGCTTTTATTGACAATTCCGGCAGTGGTCCCGCCCTCCACGATGGTCACCAGATGTCTCCATTCCCAGTGATCCTACCTCCAGAGCCCAGCTTTTCTCTTCAAATGCTCAATATTTTCCCCCAAACTTTTCCCCTGCTGCCCCAACTCTCGGTTTTCTCACAATTTTGCCCATTTCATGCAAATATCTCTAAGTTTCCCAGGCCCTCATTGGAGGAGGCCTGACCTGGAGTAGAGGAGTGAAGGTTTGGGGCCAATGGTTGAGTTTTGGGGCAGGAGCAGAGGAGGGTTTGGGGTCGGTGCTGACCATTGGGGCAAATGGGAACAAAGGGTGAAGATCTGACGTTTGGGGGGTGGGTCTCAGATTGGGGACGGGGGGGACACTGAGAGGGGGGTGGATCCACAACTGTCATCTTCACTGTAAGCACCAGGACTACAACAACCACTAGTAGCACGTTTGGCACAGAAATAAGATCTGGAATCCTCGTCCTTGAGGTTGTTCATGGTCAGCGTCACCGAGCTCTGCCCGTTGTCCCTGGAGATCCTGAAACGGCCCTGGACTGAATCCGCGTACCCAGTCCAACCACCAGTTTTGCTGATCCCAGCGAAGTATTCCAGCCCCTGCCCGGGTCTCTGGCGCATCCAGCCCATGGCAAATTTCCTGAAACTGAACCCAGACCCTCGGCAGAGGAGGCGCAGGGAGCCCCGGGGCGCTGGAGTTCCCCCCCGCACTCCAGCAGGTTCACGGCCGCCCGGAGCCTTGCGGGACAAAGGGGAGATGGGGATGAGGAGCTGGATTGGTTTTGGACCCAAAGTGGGCACCGCCATGCAAGAAGAAGGGTGTGGGATCCACCTGGGAGGATTGGCAGGTGCTGCTGGAGGAGGATGGTGAGGTCCCAGGGTCTAAATTTGTGGCCAGCATCAGGATCTGCATCCAGGAATCAATATTTGGGTTGCTTTTTTTCCCCATCCCCATCTCCCCTTTGTCCCGCAGGGCTCCGGGTGGCCGTGACCCTGCTGGAGTGCAGGGGGGACCTCCAGCCCCCCGCGGGGTCCCTGATGTTGCTGTGCCGAGGGTCCGGGTTCAGTTTTGGGACTTTTGACATGGAATGGGCTCGACAGAGACCCGGGCAGGGGCTGGAATTCATTGCCTACATCAGCAACACTGGTGGTTACACCTACTACACGCCATCGGTCAAGGGCCGGTTCAGGATCTCCAGGGACAGCAGGCAAAGCTCAGTGACGCTGACCATGAACCACCTCAAGGACGAGGATTCCGCCACCTATTTCTGTGCCAAATCTGCTTATGCTGGTGCTGCTGGTGGTGCTGCTGCTGCCTTTATTGACCATGCCAGTTTTGGCATCACCCCTGTCTGAGCCCCCCCTGTCCCCAAACCCAGACTCTTCCCCCTCAAACCTCACCCATTTACCCTTTGTCCCCATTTGCACCAATGGTCACCACTGACCCCAAACCCTCCCCTGCTCCGGCCCCAAAACTCAACCATTGGCCCCAAACTTTCACCCCTGGGATCCAGGTCAGGCTTCCTCCTATCGGGACCTGGGAATGGGTAGAGATTAGGGAGAAATGGGCAAAATTGGAGCAAAGCACAGAGGTGGGGCAACAATGGTAGATTTTGGGGGAAAATGGTCGAGGTTTTAGAAGGGCTGAAACTTGCGGGAAGAATCGCTGGGACTGGAGAAATTTCACGACCCTCATGGTCACTACCAGAAGTGAAGGAAAAAACAGCAGCAGCATTACCACCAGCATAACCATTTTCAAGTTTGGCACAGAAATATACAGCAGAATCCTCGTCCTTGAGGTTGTTCATGGTCAGCGTCATCGAGCTCTGCCTGTTGTCCCTGGACATCCTGAACCGGCCCTTGACCGATGGCTCGTATTTGGTGGTGCCACCATTGTCACTGATCCCTGCGAGCCACTCTAGGGCGCAGGGACCCCCTGGGGGGCTGGAGGTCCCCCCCGCACTCCAGCAGGGTCACGGCCGCCCGGAGCCCTGCAGGACAAAGGGGAAAAGTGTGCAGAGCTTTGTGGACAGCTGGTTGGCTGTTAAAGGTCATGTTGATATAATGCCGCTGGTCAAGCTTGAAGGGGACAAGTACAGGAGCAAGCAGTCAGTGTCCAATGACAGGCAAGGACATTGTGCCCTTGGTGCAGCAGCAGGATAGGAGAAAACATCTTTGGCAGAAATACGAAGAGAAGTTTCAATAAAATACCCACAAGAATGCAGAAGGAGGTGCAGTTGGCTGATGAGTAACCGACCAATGGTGAGCTTGCATTTGCAATATGCATGAGCCTCATTAACACCGATATAAAGATGCGTGCCTACCAATAAAGATTTGAGACTTGCTGATCAATCATATCGCATGCCGCGTTTCTCCCGCACATCCCAACACAGATGGGGATGGCCAAAGCTCAACCCTTGACCCCAAAATCCCAGGTATTGGCCCCAGGTTGTGACAATTTGTCCTTCTCCTCCTGCTCCTGGTCACCCTCCCAGGTGGGTCTCATCCCTTTTTCCAGCTGGCCACACCCACTGCAGGCCCACAGCGAATCAGGTTTCTCATCCCCATCTCCCTTTTTCCCGCAGGGCTCCGGGCAGCCGTGACCCTGCTGGAGTGCGTGGGGGACCTCCAGCCCCCCGGGGGGGCCCTGCGCGTCCTCTGCCGAGGGTCCGGGTTCAGTTTCGGCAGTTTTGGCATGCAGTGGTTGCGCCAGAGACCCGGACAGGGGCTGGAGTGGGTCGCGGGTATCAGGAACGATGGTGCTTACACCGACTACGCGCCGTCGGTCAAGGGCCGGGTCACGATCTCCAGGGACAACGGGCAGAGCTCGGTGGTGCTGACCATGAACAACCTCAAGGACGAGGATTCCGCCACATATTTCTGTGGCAAAACCACTGCATCTGGAAATGTTTATCCTGATTATGCTATTGGCCCCGTCCCCATCTCTGCATCCCTACCTGTCCCCGTTCCCCAGATCCTTCCCCCATACCCCAACCCCTGACCCCATTTCCTCACTCTCTGTCCCAGCCCTGCTCTGGCTCTGCCCCAAATGTCCCCTCTGGGCCACACTCAGTGCCCTCGTTCCTCAAATTACATTTAATTTTTTCAAAATTCGGGGCCAAAGTTAAGGTCAGGAGTCAAAAATTCAAATTTTGGCCTGAAATTCCCCATGTGTGGCTAATGGGCCAGATTTGGGTCAGTGGCTTTGACTCAGTACCTGCAGGGGAGATTTGGGGTAATACTGGATAAGTCTGGGGGCAATGGTTGGGATTGGAGGGCCGAGGCTGAGCTCAGGGTGAAACCGGCCCTGATTTGGGGCCAGGAGCTGAGATGTGGGGCCAGGAGCTGAGGTTTGGGGCCAGAGCAGGGCAGGGTCCGGACACGGGGACAGGAAAGGGGTCAGGGATTGGGGTTTGGGGAAGAGTCTGGGGAACGGGGATGGGAGGGGACACAGGAATGGGGCCGAAACGTCAAACACCAGCAGCATAAGGAGCAGCACCAGCACCAGTGCGTTTGGCACAGAAATAGGATCCAGAATCCTCATCCTTGAGGTTGTTCATGGTCAGCGACACCGAGCTCTGCCGGTTGTCCCTGGAGATCGTGAACCGACCCTTGAACAATGGCGCGTACCCGGCCCAACCACCATTGTAGCTGACGCTCGCAACCCACTCCAGCCCCTGCCCGGGTCTCTGGCGGATCCAGTACATGTCGTAGCTTCCAAAACTTAACCCGGACCCTCGGCAGAGGAGGCACAGGGACCCCCCGGGGGGCTGGAGGTCCCCCCCTGCACTCCAGCAGGGTCACGGCCGCCTGGAGCCCTGCGGGACAAAGGGGACATGGGGATGGGGCAAAGCTCAACCCTTGACCGAAATCCTGAACCTTGGCCCCGAATTGGGACCCTTGGGCCTCCTCTGCCGCAGGGCCCAAAGGTTTAGCTGCCCTCTGCAAAACACAGACCTTCACAATGACCAAAACCAGGAACTTTCTGTTTCCTTTCCAGCCCGGGCTGGGCCCCGGCAGCTGCCAGGGAGGAAGTGGGGGGAGGCTGCGGAGCCCCAAAATCGCGGCGTCTTCTCCTCCCTCCCTCCCTCCCTCCCTCCCTCGCTCCCACCTGGGGCTTCACTTCTCCCTCAGTGGCCTCGGTGTCTGGGGCTGCTCCTTGGGGCTGGGCTGGAATCCTCTCTGGGAGCTCTGGACATGGCGAGGATGCTGGTGGTTGCCCCAAAACCCGATCCCTGTTTCTCCAAATGTCCCAAAATCCCCAAATCCTTGCCCAAATCCCAACCCTTGACGCCATTCTTGACCTTCTCCCGCAGTGTGCACCAACTCTGCCACAACTTTTGACCTTATCCCAGTTTTGTCAATTTCACCCAAATCTCCCCCTGCTCCCTGGGCCCTGATTGGAGGTAGCCTGAACTGGAGGCCAGGGGTGAAGGTTTGGGGCCAATGGTTGAGATTTGGGGCAGGAGCAGGGAAGGGTTTGGGGTCAGTGCTGACCATTGGGGCAAATGGGGGAGATTTGGGACAAAGGGTCAAGGGCTGAGGTTTGGGGGAATCGTCTGAGATTGAGGACAGGGGGGAACAGGGGGACGGGACTGGATCCACAACTGGCGTCTTCACTATAAGCACCTGGTCTACAAAAACCGTTATTTGCATGTTTGGCACAGAAATAGGATCTGGAATGCTCGACCTTGAGGTTGTTCATGGTCAGCATCACCGAGCTCTGCCCATTGTCCCTGGAGATCGTGCACCGGCCCTGCACTGAGGCTCGTAGTGCGTGCCACCATGAGGGTCGATCCCTCCAATGTATTCCAGCCCCTGCCCGGGTCTCTGACGCAGCCAGAACATGGAGAAACTGCCAAAAGGGAACCCGGACCCTCGGCAGAGGTGGCGCAGGGCCCCCCCGGTGGGCTGGAGGTCCCCCCTGCACTCCAGCAGGGTCACGGCCGCCCGGAGCCCTGTGGGACAGAGGGGAGATGGGGATGAGGAATCTGATTGGTCCAGAAGGGTAAAAGGTGCGTGTGTTCCAGAAAAAAGGGGTGGGACCATCTGGGAGGGGCAGCAGGAGCAGCAGGGCCAGGAGGTGGAGGGAGCTTGAGGCCGTGGCCGGGATGTGCCGGGGTTGGGGTCTCGCGGGTTTTGGGGGTCATGAGCTTATAGTTGTGCAATCAATGGAGAAGGATCAGAAGGAGGTTTCCAATTGATTAAGGAAGGGGTTGGGGTTAATTGCAAGATTTCAGGGAAGTTATGATGCAGAAAATCTCTGGTAGAGACTGGGGACCAAACACCCAGAGTGAAGGTTTGGGGATGGGCTCCGGGCGGCCATGACCCTGCTGGAGTGAGGGGAGGACCTCCAGCCCGCGGGAGGGTCCCTGCGCCTCCTCTGCCGAGGGTCCGGGTTCAGTTTTGGCAGTTTTGGGATGGGCTGGATCCGCCAGAGACCTGGGCAGACTCTGGAGTGGCTTGCAGGGATCACCAGTAGTGGCAGCGCCGACTACAATCCATCATTCAAGGGCTGGTTCAGGATCTCCAGGGACAACGAGCAGAGCTTGGTGACACTGCCCATGAACAACCTCAAGGACAAGGATTCCGGATCCTATTTCTGCGCCAAATGTTACAGCAGTAGTTGTGGTGGTGGTGGTGGTGCTGATTGTGGTGTTGATGGTGTTTGTGGCCCCAAGCCTTTTGTTCTGTGTTCCCAAATATCTCAGAATTCTCTGATCCTTCCCCAAAATCCCCACCCCTGTTTCTCAAATCTTGACCATTTCCCCAAACTCCACCATCACTTCCCCAATTCCCAGTTTCCCCCTTAATTTTGCCCATTTCTCCCCAGTCTGGCCCTTCCTCTCCATCCCAGTGTGGAACAGGGATCGCTCCAGGGCCCTTTGCACACAAAGCTTTTTGTGCAGCCGGCGCTCTGCAGAGGCGCCCAGACGCTGAGCTGCCCTCTGCCAAACACAGATGTTCACAATGACCAAAACCAGGAACTTTCTGTTTCCTTTCCTGCCCCGGCCGGGCCCCGGCAGCTGCCGGGGAAGAAGTGGGGGGAGGCTGCGGAGCCCCAAAATCGCGGCGTCTTCTCCTCCCTCCCTCCCTTTCTCCCACGTGGGGCTTCACTTCTCCCTCAGCGGCCGTGGTGTCTGGGGCTGCTCCTTGGGGCTGGGCTGGAATCCTCTCTGCGAGCTATGGAGAAAAAACCCTTTTTATTTTTCCCAAAACACATGAAAGTGAGGGGAGATGAAATTGTTTAAATTCATCTCGAGCCAAGGGCTCCATGCTGAGAGAAGCAGATGAGTGCAAGGGTGGAGTCACCTGGAACATTCCATCGGTCAAGGGCAGGGTCAGAATGGGCAAGGAGAGCTCAGGAGCCAAAATGGCCCCAAATGGGCCCCGAGCTGAGCTGTGGGGCCAGGACCTGAGAATGTGGGGGCAGAGCCAGGGCAGGGTTGGGGCACAGGGAGAGGAATGGGGTCAGGGGCTGGGGATTGGGGAAGGGTCTGGGGAACGGGGACACGGGGGGAAAGAGTGAAGGGGACGGGGTCAAAAGCATCAGCACAAGCAACATTTCCAGTAACAGTGGTTTTGGCACAGAAATATGTGGCGGAATCCTCGTCCTTGAGGTTGTTCATGGTCAGCGTCACACGAGCTCTGCCCGTTGTCCCTGGAGATCGTGAACCGACCCTTGACCGATGGTGCGTAGTAGGTGCTGCCACCACTGTTGATTATTCCAAACCACTCCAGCCACTGTCCAGGTCTCTGTCGAACCCAATCCATTTCGAAACTGCCAAAACTGAACCCGGACCCTCGGCAGAGGAGGCGCAGGGAACCCCCGGGGCGCTGGAGTTCCCCCCCGCACTCCAGCAGGTTCACGGCCGACCGGAGCCCTGCGGGACAAAGGGGAGATGGGGGTGAGGACAAAGCTCAACCCTTGACCCAAACCCTTACTCTGGGCCCCAAACTGGGACCTTTGGACCACCCCATCCTAGTTGTCCTGCTCCGGCTGCCCCTCTAAGGTGGGTCCCACCCCATTTTCTATTTTGACACACCCACTTTGAGGCCCTCAGCCAATCGGGTTCCTCATCCCCATCTCCCCTTTGTCCAGCAGGGCTCCGGGCGGCCGTGACCCTGCTGGAGTGTGGGTTGAACCTCCAACCACCCAGGGGGTCCCTGCGCCTCCTCTGCAGAGGGTCCGGGTTCAGTTTCGTCAGTTTTGGAATGGATTGGCTTCGCCAGAGACCCGGGCAGGGGCTGGAGCCAGTCGCCAATATCTGCAGCAATGGCAGCGCCTACTATGCGGATTCGGTCAAGGGCCGGGTCACGATCTCCAGGCGCAACGGGCAGAGCTCAGTGACGCTGACCATGAACAACCTCAAGGACGAGAATTCCGCCGTTTATTTCTGTGCCAAATCTTACAGCACTGGTAGCGCTGCTGCTGCTGCTTCTTATACTGTCCGTACTGATGGTGGCATCGCCATTTCTGAGACCCTCCTGTTCCCAAATCTTAGACCCTTCCTCCAAGTCTCAGCCTTTGACCCCATTCTTGGCCCTTTGTCCCAGATCTCCCCCATTTCCAACACCACCAACCACGGAGCCGCAACCCGCGAACCGCTTCTGCCCCAAACCCAAATAAGTTGGCACCAGAAATCGCCCAAATCTGCCCCAAATCCCCACTTGTGCTCCCTGCAGCAGCAGTCGCTGACACAAATCCTCAACCTTTGTCCCCAAATCGGGACCCTGGGCCTCAAACCCCGACCTGCAGAGGAAAGTTTTGGGGAACAAAGAGGAGATTTCGGGTCAGGAGTTGTGGTTTGGGGTCAGCGGGTGAGAATTGGGGCCGAGGCAGAGCAAGGTTGGGATCAATGGTCAAGGGCTGGGTGTGGGCTGGGGGTCTGGGGGAAGGGTCTGGGGAACGGGCACGGGGGGGACACAGGGATGGGGGTGGGGACACCATGGGCATCGTCACTACGAGCAGCATGTTCAGGGTAATTATTAGCAGCACAC